TCGACATGTTTCCTCACTTTAACCCAAAAAACTCACAGCGACTAAATCCTCAAGTAAAAAAACTTTAATCAACTTTCCCTCGTACAAAATAAATGAGACGAGCTGAATTAAAAATACTGACACTCATCTCCAAAATCACCCACAGTACAGACATAATTACATGATCACAGCCCTGTGGTATCGTCTAGGCCAACATTCGCCACTTTTCCAATTCGTCTGGTTAAGAAATGATGTAAAAGTCGCCATTTAATAAATCAGGACGCAGTAAAGGTTGGCGAAAACCCCGCCAGGACACCGTATTTAGCGCCAACGGGTGGTGTTTGAAAGCCTTCATGTGAGCAGCAAAAAAACACCATTTTTGGCGGGGTCATTGAACGCTGCATTAGACATCGCGGGTGTGCGCAACATTTAAGAGCTGAGGGAAAAACAGCACTCTTGGTCAGTCACTGAGCTCGCTTTACCTGGCGCTCAGTGACAGCTGTGAGGCGTTTTCTTAAACTATGCAGGGCCTCCCCGTGTTTCTCATCCAATGTAGTTAAACTCCAATCAAAGAAGAAGGAGCGCAGACACCAACTCATCCCTCAGTCCGGTAACGTGATCGCTTAAATTTGCCTATTTGATCACCAGCAGCACTGACTAACAATGGGCTGTGAGGCCAACTCTCTGTACATGTTACTCAGGGCCACTGATCAATGATCGTGACAGTTTGTGTGTTTATGATCACGACACTGACCTCACAGCCTGTTGTTAGTGGTGTTAGCATCAGTCCTGTTTCAAAGTTGGGGAAACCTGCAGTCAGCTGAGGTTGAAGAAGTCATTTAGATGAGTGATGAAACGTTTCTCCCACTGAAAAAACGAAGTCCAGATGAACAGAATCAACTTTTTGGGACTGTTTGTTTCGCAAAGACCGTTCTGCGTTTGTTTGGGTCACAAACACAGTTTTCCTCCATTCAATGTCTGAAAAAATGCTGTAATCATTTAAAATGCTTTAAATTTCAGCATAAACTTAGGAAAAGTGTGTAATCTTCATCAGCAGCTCCTCCTTTACAGCAGCATGTAGCAGTTCCGAGCACTAAGCCGAATGAATGGCGCGGTTTCATTCAGCGTTTTAAATGTCGCTCTGTTCGGTTTCAGACGTTAACAATCTGACGTTAAACTAAATCTAAGTGACTAAATCCTGCTGTGGGTAAAAACAACTTTAATCAACTTTCCCTCGTACAAAATAAACGAGACAAACTGAATTAAAAATAATGACGCTTATCTCCAAAATCATCCTCATTACAGAGATGATCACATCTTGGGCTGTGGCCTCACACATGTAACTCTACATGTTCACATAAGGAAAATACCTGTGATGATGCACTGAGGCGTTCCTCGTGTCGGCCTCACCTGTAGATTCTGCTCTCATCACAGCATCAGCGATGCTCACAGATCTCTGTGCTACACATCCAATAATATAATTAATCTGAATGTTTTAATATTTTTAGTGCAAAATCTGATCTGGTCACAGCGCTGAAAAACACCAAAAGTGTCCCAGCTTTGAGTCAAATTCAAGGTCTGAATTATTGTTTCAGTCCTCTGCTCTTAGTAAATGTAATAAAAATGACAACGTGGTTGTAAAATCTTAGAGGAACCTTTTTCACCTTTTTGTCAGGTCACAGCACAAGAAATTAACTGATTTATCAAAAAGTATTTCTTGCATAAACATCAATGATGACATGAAGCATTTGCTGGAGCCTGAAATACTGTAAGTAGAACTCCAGATTAGATTAACGTCACATGATCATATTAAACAGAGACACCTCTAGAAAAACCTCAGGACAGTCTGGTGTTTAGTTTCTCACAGGAAGGATTTTGTTGGACTGATGACGGCTGCAGAGTTTCAGAGGATGGAAACTTAAACCCAGAATCAGGATCTGTGTCGGCTGCTCAGGATCCAGCTTAGTGTGTTTGTCTGATCCTGCAGCTCACAGGAAGTTGCTCCACCTACAGCAGCATAGATAAACTGTGCAGTGATATCTCTGCAGGCAGGATGTAGATGTGCTAACGGGAGAAAATGAATTCTGTTTTTTCACAGTGTCTTTTTCTAAAATCTACATTGTTAATGATGATTTGTTTTTTTTAAATCTTCCACTGAGATAAAAGCAGCCATAAATGTAGATCCTCTATATGTTGATCACGTCTCTGTGTCAGTATAAGACTTTAATGCAGTCTCTCTGGTTCACTGCAGTCTTTGTCTCTGTGTTTCTGTCAGGTGTTCACATAAACCAGAGGATGTACGGCTGTGAATGGGATGAAGAAACAGCTGAAGTGAACGGATATTTCCAAGATAGTTATGATGGAAAGGACTTCATAAGCTTTGACCTGAAGACAGAGACGTGGGTCGCTCCTGTACAACAGGCTGTCATCACCAAAAACAAGTGGGACAGTAACAGAGCTAGGAACACATATTGGAAGAACTACCTCACCCAGGAGTGTCTTGAGTGGCTGAAGAAGTATGTGAACTATGGGAGGAGCTCTCTGATGAGAACAGGTAAAATCTATGACCAGAATTAGATTGTTAACCAAAAGTTATGTCTCAGTTTATTACTTAATATGATATTAAATTAATATAATTACACTTCACATGGTATTTTGATAGATTTTTAATGTAATTTAATTTTATAAACCACATCACATCAAAAAGAAATCAGTATGCTTTTATTAACAATAATAATAATAATAATTATTATTATTATTATTATGTTTCTTTTTAAGTTGCTTCTGGTCGCCACAGCAGACCATCTTCCACTGTTTTAGCTCTGATATACTCATTTCTAATCCTTCTCTGTCTCCTGTATTTGTCTCAGTGCCACCATCTCCAAACCATAAATCACAGCAGGTCTCACTGCCATCTTGTAAACCTTCACTCTTAATTGTCTCCACCCACTCCACCTTGTCTGCACTCTCTTCTTCATCGCTCTTCTGCACTATTCACCTCTTCAGCTCAAATAAAATTATAATAATAGTAATACAGAAAGAATAAACTGTTTGTCTTTACTCCACAGAGCGTCCCTCAGTGTCTCTCCTCCAGAAGTCTTCCTCCTCTCCAGTCAGCTGCCACGCTACAGGTTTCTATCCTAACGGAGCCGAGATGGTCTGGAAAAAAGATGGAGTGGAGCTTCATGAGGGCGTGAACAAAGGAGAGATTCTCACCAACAATGACGGGACCTTCCAGATGAGTGTTGACCTGGATGTCTCATCAGTGAAACCTGAAGACTGGCACAGATACAGATGTGTGTTTCAGCTCTCTGGTGTGAACGAGGACATCGTCACCAAACTGGTCAAAGCAGACATAGAGACCAATGAAGTGGACATTGGTAATGGTAAGACAGGAATCAGAAGTGATCAAAGTTGAAAATATAAAGTCCTGCAGTTTATGTGGTTTCATCTGTTAAGTTCCTCTTCAGGCTTTAATGTTACACAAATAAACGTGTCCAATCTTGGATCATTGTGTGAGTGCTAACTTCCTAAAAATATTTTTACAATTAAATGTTTTGAAAGTGCTGTAATGCAGGTTTTATTATCCAGTACAGCTATTCATTGCTGTCCATTCACTGTTTACTGAGCTTTGATGAATACAGAACCTCATTAACATACTTTTTTGTTGAGTTTTGTATTTAAACATTTCTTTATTTTTGTGCTTTTAGAGACACAGTTTTCAAGCCTATTTGAATTTTTTTATTTTATTTATATTTTTCCAGTATTTTTATCTGGTTGAAACTGATTATTGTCTTTACTGCTTCAGGTTGTGATTTGTTTGTTGTTGTTGATCTACAGTTCCTCCAGGAAATAATCTCACCATCATCATTGCCGTTGTTGCTGCGGTTCTTGTCCTCGGCGCTGTGATTGGATTCATTGTCCACAAAAAGAAAACAAGTGAGAGACAAAAACAGAAAAAAAAAATTTTTTAGTTAATGCTCTTATGAAAAAGTGCATAAGCAGCACAAGGCACAGTGTCATGGAAATATGAATTACATGATAATATGACAAAAGACACAAATAAAATATTATAACCATAAGAGATAAAATTATCTTTATTTTCTTTTATTTCAGGCAAATGCTCCCAGCCTCGTAAGTCAAACTAGTGTCTGTTTTCTCTTATGCATTCTGTAGATCATAAAGTATTTTTCTGTATTTTATGGTAAATAACTTTTTCAGGAATGAACAAGTCCCAGTTCAGACAGGATGTGAACTAAAACATGTTTCTGACCTTTTACAGCTATGAAGGATCCTGCGGTGAAGGATCCTGCAGTTAAGGAGCCACTGAATCCTCCAACAGTCTAAATGACAAACAACCTTCCACACAGTGAGTTACTTCATTTTAAGCAAAGCTGCCCTGAAATGTGTTAAAGTTTTTCTTTATTTCTGTAAACTGCTGCAACACTGTAGCTGCACCACTGAAAGTAACACTTTCAGTTACCTTTCATCAAAAGTGTCTAAAAGTCAAATTATAGTAAGTTATATTATTAAAAGGAAGGCTTTTTTCTGAAAAATTCACATCTGTTTGCTAGTTAAACATTAAAATTTTAACAAGTACAAACAATGACAACACAACATTAATGAACTATTCATTATATACTAATGTATAATAAAACAAAAGTTTAGGCTCACGAAGTTTTATAATCAAATGTTTGACTGAACCAAAGTTCTATTATGTGTTAATGATTCTGTAAATATGTGGCAGATATTTTTTCTAAATCATTGTTTTATAAAATCTTAATGTTTTTTTTTTCTCTACAGGTTTGTGGAGATATATTGCACTCAAAAAAAGAGGCGTTGTCACTTGATTCTCCATAAAGTGGGACTAAATTCTTTAATTCGTCAAACTGAAGACTTGGAAAAAGTGTTGCACTTACTTATTCTTCCATTAACTAATTTTAAATTACTTGAATTTTTTTTAAGTTCAAATTAGATTTTAATTACTTTAAATTTGGGGGAAATAAATGTAAACATGAATTGGCAGATATTTAACAAATATGACATAGATGGTGACCTTATTTTGAGACTTGAATTCCCAATTAGGAAGTTGGATTACTTTGATAAATAAAACACCAATGGAGGGAAGTACCACATGTTTTAAAAATCACATCACAGCAGTCTAAAATATTTTTGTTTATTGGAAATAAACACAATATATTTTTAGCTTTGTATTTCTGGTGTTGGGGTATTCTGTAAATCAATAAATTACTAAATCACTGTTGATAAAAAGTACAAATGTATTAATAGAGGTGCTTGTCCTTTACATACACATACTCTTAGAGTTTGGTAATATGATCATATATTTCTTTAGATTTGACAACAAACAGGACAATTCTGTAAATCAGTCATCAACATTAAAAAACACATTGTGGAAATTATAGATTTTAAATCACATGAACTCATCAGTGTAAATTATTGTTTAACTTTCTAAATCTGGTGGTAAACTGGGAATGACTCCAGTCCTCTGCAGCTCTCAGTAATCAGACAGGAAATGGATGGATGGGCACTGAACTGTTATGATTAGCAGGATTTATCAATAATGATTTAGACACATATTTTCCATTTGGTTTCTTCTACATCTCTAGATTATTTTTTAACTTAAGTTCTTTAAAATATATATCAAGTAAAGGGATAAAATAACACCCATCCATAAACACATGCCCAAAGTCTCAGATCACAGTGGATTTCCAAATTTTGTACATAAACCGCTTGTACATTTCTTTAAAACTATTTTGTGTTGATTTTAACCAGACCTAGGGTGGTTATAATTTATGTCTTTGAGGTTATTCTCAAATTAAAAAAAAGATAATTGTGTTGTTGCTTTTCTCTTTTTAGTCTAAAAAGTTTTGATCTTTGCTTTGTTTTCTGATTTAGTTTAAATTGAGCTTCTGATGGCTTGCGTGATATTTTTTTGAAAATGCTTTCTGTTCATATTTAGGGGTTTTAAAGGGCCTTTTCTGTCTTATGTAAACACATAGGAGTTAAAAAGTGATGTTGCTGTTTCATTCTCTTTTATACTTTTGCCTTTCAATAAAGTCCCCAATAATCCAAATTTCTGTCTGTTTGTGATTCCATACACTGTACACTTATCTAAAACATGAGTTATGTCTAAGTGTTAAAAGAGTTTTTCACCAGGTGACATTTTAACTTATCACAGACCTATGAGGCCTCAGTCACAGTGAAAGAAGAATAGGTCAGCAAGCTCCATGTGACCACAACAACCTCGTAGTGTATAACTGATTTCTCTGATTTTTCATTTGTATTTTTTCTGCTGTCTCAGATAATTACACGTAGACAGACCCTAAGCCTGGGGAAGGTCTGTAATTATAATTAATGTCTCATTTATTAGCAGCAGAAATATTGGCAACACTTTGCAGTCACTCTGAGTTTACCCGGATGAGCAGCTCCTCTGCTCCTTTATTTATTTCTCCAAGTGTAATGAATCACACACATGGGAGTTACTGAGATTTGTGGCAGGCAATTTACTGCAAACTCTGCTAAATTTAACTCCAAACAGCATCTATTATTTTGCTATAGGTAAGTTTTATAGTTATGCTATAGTAGAATATACACAGAATATGTATAGTAGAAAGAGTAGAATTTGAGACGTTTTTGTTTTTTTTAAAGAATTCTAACTTGAAAACTATGACATTTTTACAACAACAACATTGGAGGTAGAAGTAGAACTTCCAGATAAACATATTTTAATTAATTTTTCATGGCACAGATTCAGCAGGTTGCTGGAAACATTCCTCAGAGATTTTGGTTCATATTGAGATGACAGCATCATACAGACACACACACGCTGGAAATTTGTTGGCTGCACATCCTTTTCCTGTTGCAATCTCCTGTTCTATCAAACCCCAATGCTGCTCTATTGGATTGAGATCTGGTGACTGTGGAGGTCATTTGAGTGCAGTGAACTCATTGTCAGGTTCAGTAAAATAAGTTTGAGATAATTTGAGCTTTGAAACATGGAGCATTATCCCAGTTTAAGCAGCCATTCAAAGATGGGTACACTGTGGTCATAAAGGGAGGGAGATGTTCAGCATCAAATCTCACATAAGCTGGTGTATTTAAACAATGCTCAGTTTGTGCTAAGAGCTCCAAAGTGTGTCAAGAAAATATCCCCACACTATTGCATGAAGAGTAGCCTGAACTGTTGACACAAGGCAGGATGGACCCATGCTTTCATGTTATTTATTTATTTATTATTTAATTATTTCCGGAGGCCAGAGGGCAGGCAAGTAGGCAGGAAGGAGAGACATATTTCCAGAGCAGAGGAGCGAAAGCTGTACTCCAGGTGAGTCCAATTCATGGGGAGCGACACCCTCTGTACACGGGGAAGATAAGGTTGCACGGGGAAAATAGGTAAAACAATTTCCAAAAAAGAGCTGCCTAGTTATCGCCAGAGGGCATATAACGAACTGGTGATTAGCCCTTTTGCTGATTGCTTGTAGAAGAGGCCCAAGTGAGACGCAGCACACTCCACCCCAAAGGGGTGGACAGGAGACCAGCAGCACCAGGTGGAAAAACCCCAGACACTACCACGGACAATGACACAGGAATTCTTTGAGCTCAATACTAACATTATCAAATTCTTACATTCAATAGTTGTACCTTTATTGTAAGAATCAGAATACTTAGTTAATCCCTGAGGAAATAATGTATTATTTACTAAAAAAAAAAAAAAAAAAGATTTGTAACATTAGCTACTTTTCACTAAATACCAGATCTCACTAATATGAGGCTAATATGAACCACTGAAGTTTGTACCTGACAATAGGGTGAGAAAAGGTTGCATACGTTCTTTATCCTCTAGGGAACACAAATGTACTTACTGATCTATCCAATAATTCAGACAACAGTCTAGATCAAAGTGAACTGATCTACTGACTGGTAGACTAGAATGCTCATTCCTTTAGCTATGCCATCAAATGGTTTTAAAAAAAAGACTCAAACAAAAAGTCGTAGAATATGTTTCAGGAAGTTTTTCCACGCATACTTCCTGCTTAAGTAGGTATCTCTGTATTTTGTGTTTTTGAGTTCACAGGCCTCCTCTACTGTCATGTCTTCCCTTTAACCAACATGTGGAAAACATGCAGCCAGACAGACGCGTCCCATTATCATCCACATAGTACAGACCAGGACCCTGCAGAACAGACTGTCTGTTATATCGTCTGAATTTCATTATTTTATCGTCTGTAGCAGATATTGTGCAGTTTCTTAAAAATATTCCCACATCAGCTGCTTGCATTAATCACCAGCCTGCACTGTAACATTATTACCTATTGATTTTAGTTGCACGCTTGCCAGTGTAATTATCTGATCGTTACATATTATTACATAATACGTATTATAACATGAATTCCAAAAAAGTTGGAAAGTTATTTAAACTTGAATAAAATGAAAACTAAAAGACTTTCGAATCACATGAGCCAATATTTTAATAAAAACAGAAAATAAATAATATAACAAATGTTTAAACTCTTGGGTTGGCCAGAAGTATTTTTGCAACCACACGTAAGAAACTTCATTTCACAGACCCAGAAGCTCCAGCCATCTTTTATACTGTCTATAGTGATAAAAGTCAGTGCTGTGAAAATAAATGTATTCAACAAGTATGCACAGTACTGTGCAAAAATCTTGAGCCACCCTTCTTTGTTTATATTTTGTTCATCCTCATGAATGAACTTACAAATCATGGACTTTACAGTCTTACTTGGCCGCTCCACCAACCCGTCAGTCTAAATGTGCAAAGGTACCTAGGTCGTTGACTTAGTGTTTTTGTTTTTGGTTCTTTGTCAGCAAGAGTCCTGACAGGGACTAGAAAGAGAGAGCAGATTTCTCCTGTTTTGGCTTCCCTTCACTGGCTTCCTGTTAAATCCAGAATTGAATTCAAAATCCTGCTCCTCACATACAAGGTCTTAAATAATCAGGCCCCATCTTATCTTAATGACCTTGTAGTACCATATCACCCTATTAGAGCACTTCGCTCTCGCTCTGCAGGCCTACTTGTTGTTCCTAGAGTATTTAAAAGTAGAATGGGAGGGAGAGCCTTCAGTTTTCAGGCCCCTCTTCTGTGGAACCAGCTTCCAGTTTGGATTCGGGAGACAGACACTATCTCTACTTTTAAGATTAGGCTTAAAACTTTCCTTTTTGCTAAAGCATATAGTTAGGGCTGGACCAGGTGACCCTGAATCCTCCCTTAGTTATGCTGCAATAGATGTAGGCTGCCGGGGGATTCCCATGATGCATTGAGTTTCTTCTGCACTAACTATGTGTTAACAGACCTCTCTGCACTGAATCATATCTGTTATCAGTCTCTGTCTCTCTTCCACAGCATCTATTTTATCCTGTCTTCCTGCCCTCACCCCCAAACACATCACGGCAGTTACCCACCCCTCCCTCACCCTGGTTCTGCTGCAGGTTTCTTCCTGTTAAAAGGGAGTTTGTCTTTCCCACTGTCACCAACGTGCTTGCGCACAGGGGGTTATATGATTTTTGGGGTTTTCGCTGTTGTATTATTTTTGGGTCTATCTTACAATATGAAGCGCCTTGAAGTTACTGTTGTGATTTGGAATAAAATCACAACATAAATAAATATAAATAAAATTGAAAATTTGATTTGGAATAAGGGGTCCATTCAAATCAGTTTCAGCTGCTTTGGTATTAATGAAATGAAAAACAGGTCCAGTAAATTGAGTTTTGTTCTTAATAGATCTCATGTATTTTCAAAGTTTTACTTTTTTTTGTTAACCACTACCTATTATGAAGCAGCAGCATCAAGCAGATTGGTTATATTATTATGTATGCAGTGAGGTATTACACAGTCTTTCTCCCAGTGTTAACCTTTCAGTCTCCAGTCCACATTACAGGCTTCTTTACCAACAGAGCTGAATTGGTTTGGAAGAAAAAAATTAGTTGAGTTTAAGGACAACATGAACTTTCTTTCTCTCTCTTCCTTTATTAATTTTAATGCCTCAACCTGCTGATTTTTTTTCTTTAACTTTTTAATGACATCCCATCTAAGGTTGGGTGTTGTTTTGGTCACATGTTAAATAGATTTTTTTTCACAAACTAGAACATGTTACATTTCAAATAAAGTCTCTTCAAATATATTTACATTTGTTTGTTCTAAAGAAGCAAAATTCTGCACAAAAGGGTGGATATTAAGTGCATCCTCATCCTACTGCTAACCCAAAGCCCAGCTTGGTCATGCTTTATATGTAGATGTTAGAGGTTAAAATCTCCTGCTGTCGGTCCCTTCTTCCACTGCACTGACCAATAACAGTTTCAAGCAGAAAATTATGAATTAAAAAAAATTAAAAGGTAAATGTTTGTATGTTATACCACATGACAACTATTCATAATAAATAAAATTCTATTCCATAATTTCACCACACATCTTGAAAGCATACCTGTGTTTCCATTTCATAACCTTTTTTATTATATCTGCCAGCGTTTAAAACTACTGCACATCATATGAGACAATGGCTTTGGGCTTTGACATTTCCTCACACTAACTCTAAATAAGGGAAACATTAGCCCATGGTATTATTCATGGGCTAATTCCAGCAATTCATCATGTTGCTGGAATGAGAAGTAACAAATTTCAACTTAGAAACACTACTTTCTTATTCTGCACATTGCCTATGAAGAATAATGTGATTTTCTATATGCCATAAATAATCTGTCTTCAAGTCTCTATTGCAAAAATTGCATAGATGCCAGTAAGATTCTCTGATTAAACTGAAATCAAACTAGCTCTAGATAGTTTGTTTAAATAATGAAGAATGATATTATCACTATTTTCTTGATTCAGTAAGTAAGTAAGCTTTTGTATTTTATTTGGTATGTATATTTTGTATATTGTAATATATACCAGATATATATTTTAACTACAGCTGTAGATAATTAATGCCATTATACTACTGTACATTATCACTCAGACAGGCATGCCAATCATGCTAATACACAGAGCAACACAACATAGTTTACAGGAATTATTATATGAGTCTTGATTTGGAGTGATTTTAATAGGTACAATCT